AAAAGACTTTTTCACATGACTGTACACTCTAAAAAATGCTGGGTTGTTTTAACCCAATTTTGGGTCAAATATGGACAAACCCGAAATGTTGGGTTAAAAATGTAACGTAAAAATTTAACCCAACGGCTGGGTTAGTCCATATTTGACCCAAAGTTGGGTTAAAACAACCCAGCATTTTTTTAGAGTGTATATACATATGCATGTCTTTGAAGTTGATAAATGAAATATGAAAAGTGGTTTACGCATTTGAATCCTTTCATTGATGATGTACATTTTAGTGGCCATCCTAATGTCAAAAGCGCATGTGTGCAAGAACCACACTATGAATGCTAATCAGATCACATTGGAGATATTGATTAGAGCAGAGCAGGTGCATGGGTCGGCTCCAGAAGTTCACAACCATCTCCGTGGTGTTGAAAATATTAAGCAACATGCGTCTGCGGCTTCACACAAACACCAGCCATTAAAGCTCCCATCTGTGTAGGCAGATTCATGGCTCCTGATTATAAAGCCAATTAGAGTTGTGTCATCTGTGAGCTTGAGGAGATTTGAGGAGGGATCCAAGAAGATGCAGTTACACCAGTTCAACTCCTCTGAGACCTGCAAAACAATCAATACGACCATTGACTGCAATGAAGCTTGTTATAATTCAAATGTCTCTACCATTTTTAGAAATACACCATTGATGTATAATGTAGATGGGTAGATACTGTGGATAGGTCGGTGGATACATGCTGTGGACAGACATAGATGGATGGTGGGTGGGTGGCTTGATTGATTGATTGATCGATCGATTGGTTGGTTAGTTGATTGATTGGTTGATTGATGCGTTCTATTACTTGTCTTAAGGCGGGCATACACTGTGCGATTCTCGTCCGATTTTGAGTCGAATTCTGACTCGTGCGACTCATTTTCGTGTCGGACCGATTTTCAGCTTTGACGTGCGTCGTTTGTCGTGCAGTGTTCGTGCAGTGTACAGGGAGAAACGAGAGGCGATTAACCTCTCACGATCGACAATCGGATGGTCGGATGAATTTCTGGCATGTCAGAAATGTTGGTCGCTCCTCGTGACTATATCGCACAGTTGAAGCAAAGCTACGAACCGATTGCCCTAAACTCAGTGTTTTTTCCCTCACTGCACCTGCGCGAAAACAGAAGTTTAACCATTTCATCTGCAGCAAAAATAAAAATTAAAATAAAAACGAGCTACTGTTGCTTACCTCCAGTTCAAATGGATAATATTACCCACCGTCTTCAAGCCACCTGCGATGTAACACCTCTTTTATTATTTTGTCAAACAATGTTTTTGAAATAAACCTGTTTTTAATTTTCATTGATGATTAATAATGGCAATGTTCGGACATATTATAGACTGTTAATAGTTATTTTATATATAATTCATTGTAATCGACCTAAATGTTTTAGACAATTTTTAATGAGGAGTAAGATTAATATTTTATTATCCTCACAGCACATTGGTTATGTGCTGTGAAAATATTGCGTGGCAAATTAATTATAATAGCGGATCAATTTAATAATAAAATTAGCCTATAGGCCTCCCCTAATAATGATAATATAATAATAATAATAATTAAATGCATAAATTGAAAATACTAAATCATCTTGATACTGATAGCAGACGCTTGTTTTGACAATATCTCTGGATACATACACGTAAATAGGCGCAATCCAGGGGGTTATCGCAGATATTACACGTATAGTGTGAGCAGTGAAGTCGCAGCTCGACGATCGGACCGTACAGTGTAAGCACATAAATCCTGAACTTTAGCTTTGCATCGCATGCGATTTACTCGTTCAGTGTGAGTAGGTACCTTGCTGAAATCGCACAGACATCGCACAGTGTATGCCCGCCTTTAGAGATCTGACTGGTGTGTCATAAAACAGGCACAGGCTGGGCCGCAACTAAAATTCACATTGTTCTGGCAGGAAAAGAGAAATATAAAACAATTATTTTATGATGGGATTCTTTCGATTGCATCATTGCACTCAGTCAGCACCTCGGCTTATGTGAGGAATCACCCTCCTGAGCCGTATCTCTGCTCCTTTCCGACAGGCTCCTCCATCTAAAAGACGATTCAGTCTGCAAGAATGAGAAATCCTGTCTTATTCAAAACCCTTAGCTATGGGGATTTGGAGACGGTGAGGTGAGAGAGACACAGCATCCTGCTCAGTGTCAGCTTGGTAGTGTGTACCAATGTTGACGTATACTCAGTGGGCCGGAGTGTTTCACTTCTGATAGCATATCAAACAGCACATGACAAGCACTCGCAAGGGACAACAGAACTCTGAACTGTATGTTACAGAGCTCAACAATGACCGCCACTTCTTTATTGGCCTGGGTCCCGGAAGTACAAATCTCCATTGGCATTTCAGAAAAATCTTAATAGATAATAAGATCAGAGCAGTAGGCCGATTAATGCAACGCTGTTGCGGTCACTTTGTTAATAGAGATGTTTGTCTGCAGTTTATGTCAATTAACATTCATGGCAGATGTATTCAATTGAATTATGAAGATGCTGTAACAGGGCATATATCCGAAATGCAGTTGAATGCACACTTTTGTCTTTTTAAAGAGCTTCTTCGGGTGCCTGGATCGCAGTGGTGGATTGAAGTTGGACAAATTTGCTGGATTGTTGGTTTCATCTTCGACAACCTAACAGTCATAAACGACCTGCAAAATGGGGAATTACTGTAACTATTAGCAGACCTAATTAATTCTTAGTGAATTTGTCTTGTGTACTTTGTGTGTGCGTGTGTTCAAGGAGTAGTTCACGTTTAAAAAAAAAACAACTTTTGCTGATAATTTACTCACCCCATGTCATCCAAGATGTCCATGTCTTTCTTTCTTCAGTCGAAAAGAAATTAAGGTTTTTGATGAAAACATTCAGTATTTTCTCCATATAATGGACTTCAGTGGGAACCAAACGGTTCAAGGTTCAAATGAGAGTTTCAGTGCAGCTTCAAAAGGCTTTAAATGACACCAGACGATACATTCAGTCAAAATTATTATTTTTTTTTTCATTGTTTTTAAGTGAACTACTCTTTTAACTATATTGTGGGGACAAATTTGTACCCAGAAGTGACCAAAACCTGATAAAATCTCCAAAAGCCTCCCTTTAGGGACATCCTCATTTGTAAACTGGTATAACAATAAAGTAAGTAAAGTTTTTATTTATTTATTTATTTATTTGTTCAATGTAAAAATGCAGCAAGTTTTCTGTGATGGGTAGGTTTAGTGTATACAAAGGGCATATACAGTTTGTACTGTATAAAACCATTACGTCTATCTATGTAATGTCTCGATTTAGATAGCTAAGTAAACTTTTGTATAAACCTATAAAAAGTTAAAGGAGTAGTTCACTTTAAAAAAAAATGCTAATAATTTACTCAACCCCATGTCATCCAAGATGTCCATGTCTTTGTTTCTTCAGTTGAAAAGAAAATTAAGTTTTTTTTATTAATATTCCAGGATTTTCTCCATATAATGGACTTCATTGGGAACCAAACAGTTCAAGGTCCAAATGAGAGTTTCAGTGCAGCTTCAAAGGGCTTTAAACGACACTAGACGATTAATAAGGGTCTTTAAACGACACTAGGCGATGAATAAGGGTCTTATCTAGCAAAATGATCGGTCATTTAAAAAATAAATAAAAAAGTTTAAGTTTTATAAGCTCAAATGCTCACCTTGCTCTGTTCTGTGATGCGCGTTAGTGACTCTCCTGTTCATTCTCAGACATGATCATTCTGATCCACGTAGATAGATGGCAGTGCAGCGTATAACTAGAGCTGTCACGATAACTACTTTTTGTTGTGCGATATATTGCACCAAAATTAATTGCGATAAACGATATTATTGTCATTTTCAGACCATTTTATGCCACTGATTACCTATGACAACATAATAGCATTATAATGCAAGTACACTGTTTCAAAGAACATTTATTCTTATTATATTCAATATTTAGACATTGTGAAATGTGAAAAAATATATCCCAAATAAATAAAACAAGTAAATAAATACACATTCTTAACAAAAAAGTGTCAGGTATCAACAACTAGATCAAAACAAAGAAATATGTCAATTTAAACTTTTAAAGTGTCTCACACAAAGGCACAGATGCATCAACAGGACATTTCATATTTTTAAATGCTGGTTTTTCGACCGTGCATAATGGCTGCATCTCTTTGGCTAAATAGTAGTGTAGTGCCTGAACGCGTTCATATTTGAGTGAACTGAAGAATGTACTGTATTACTGCCTGATGAACGCGTTCATTCTGGTGTGTGTCTGCGAATGCACGCTCTATCAGTTTAAACTCTTACCTTCGTACAATAGGGTGCCGATTTGTATAGAGCCTTCCAGGCAAAAACCCGGCTAAAACACACGTAAACAAGCCTTAAACACCCAATCTGGCAACACCAACCGCGCCGCGGCCAGCGTCGACAAAGCAGCGAGTGAGGAGATGTATGATCATTTAAACTGATTTTATGAGGTCAGTGCGGATGGGGAAAAAAAATCTCACATTTCTGCGCAAACTGGCCGTCGATAAAATAATTGTTGTCTGTGGTTGTATGGGCTGTGACAATAACAGCCTAATAAAAAAAGCTCACAACATGGAAAAAAGAACTATAAATTAACTAGTTTTTTTTAAGTATGAGCTATGAACTGAACTAACTCATTTTAAAATGTGTGAACTGAACTTTGAACTAATTCGTGTAGAAAGTGAAATTTACCAACACTGAGAGTTTCGCTATCCGTGAGTGTGTGCCATTTCGCGCTGTCACGTTTACTATATTTGCACTGTCGGGACGGGAAAATGCATCTGCAACATAACTGTCTGGAAGAAGGCCCTCTCCAACTCCAGCTGCTGTTGTTGTTCCCAGGTTGAAACACTGGGTGGGATGGTTATGTTTTAGGTGGCGATTTTAAGTTTGTTGCCTCGTCGCGTTGCTACTGTTTTAAAACACAGTCGACATACCCCGCTCGTTCACGTTTATCTCTCCTCTCTCGTTCGGCTTAAAGGCAAAATGTTCCCACACCGGAGCTGAAGATTGTGGCTTTGAAATCAATTAATTCCATGTTGGACTCGTTCTTCCTAACTGTCTGGCTCGCTGTAGATGTCACGAGAACACTTTAAAATGCAGTTTTGGTTCACGCCTTCTCTTCACCTGCCGGTGTCCGCTCTCTCCCTGTGCGTGTATGTGGTGGACGCGTGCAGACAAGATGACAGAGGAAGCGCGATCAACTAAAATGCTCATGACGTTCATTTTATTGTAAAAATGAATCTAATTATTATTCTTAATAGTAAAACAGATTATCTGTTGCAATATATCGCGGCACCAAAAATGATCGCACTGGTTTCCATATATCGTGCGATAAGTCGATATATTGACTATCGCGACAGCTCTACGTATAACACTGTTATGGTATCGGCTCTTACAAGAAGAAGAGAACTACTGGCTTTGTTTGAAAACTTAGGCAGCTGACTTGTTGCCTCGCTGCCTCATCAGGCAATAACTTTGCAGGCAATTTTTGCACACAAAGGTACCTGACGAAACTGATTTCGTACAGAATTCCGAGGCAGCATATGAATCTAATGACTTACAACAACATAGAGAGAGATTTGGCGATAACTAAGTAAATATTTAATATTGCTAGAAATAGTGAAGAGAACCTGAGGACAGTTTAATTTTAAACAGTGGTGAACAACCAAAATGTGAACCATAAACTGAATCCAAGACATGAAACGAAACTATAAACTTGACTTGAAACAATGCCCTGGCACATGGAACAATGGAACATTTGGCAAAATAACATACTTCAATATACAATGTTGTGTATGGACCATGCAAGAGCATAACATAAGTATGTTAAGTGTGTTATATTTTCCCATGTTCCATTGTTCCATGTGCCAGACCATTGTTTCAATAGCCTTTATGCACAACTTACTTCCGCATTCTGTAAAACAGGTCGCATCACTTCCGGTCCAGGTCTTTTGTATGTGCTTCATGAATTTTTTTTGCGGTTTTACTCAAGATAACTTAAAAGGAGCGAGTAAAGATTAGCATAACCAATATCCCTCACATGTGCAGATTGATATTTAAACGTTTTATATTTTTCTTCTTCACAGTAACTTTTTGATATTTAAATGGAATAAAACGGCAATAACAAAGTGAACTAGTTAGGTTAGCTGATTACCTTAAAAATCCATAGATATCGTAGTCAGTTCTTACGGCCGTTAACACTTTCTCTGACAAGCGGATGCGATGAGACCCGTTTTCCGGTTTTGTCACGTGACGCTCCGCATAAAGCCTATTCAAGTTTAAAGTTCATGTTTATGTTTTGTTCAAACAAACACCAACAGGCAGGAAACAAAAATCGCATTACCTGAAACAGGAAACATTGTTATGAATGAGAAGAACTTTAAAATAAAAGGCAAGGCATAAACATGAAGTGAGAACATAAAACATTAAGAAAAAAAAAATATCTGTAAAGATTAGAAAATAACATTCTTTTATATTCGCTATTATTGTTGTATGTAGCTAGCTGCCGTATGACTACCCTTTTGTAATTAGCATAATTCACTAAACTGTGAAAATGAAGCTTGCATTTCTAGAGTAGTTTGTGGCAGCTGTTTTTTTTTATATTTAACATTACCTTGCTGTGTGTATTTTGAAGAGGGAAAAATGACCAAGCAACATTTTATTTGCTTATATTTTATTACAAAATAGTATATGTTTTACTAGTACATGGATGTGGATGAATTTTACTTTTTGGAATTTGATTAGTCTTTGTCTGTTGTCCTTGTCACAAGAATAGTCACTAACAGGCTGAACAAAATAAAAAATAGAGACATAACCAAGCACCCATGAGACAAGATGTCAGATTTCAAATCACATATTTCTGAGGGATCACGCACAAGCCAAGCAATTGGCATTGAGGTTAATGGGACCTCACAAAGCATGGTTGTGCTGTGAAAGTGTTTATATACTAAAACAACCCTGAATCTAATCAAATGTCACCCAGAGGCTGACAGAAACTGTAAGTGAATAGGACATGACTGTTTTTTTTGTTTTGTTTTTTTTTTGCACTGTTTATGACAATGCAAGCAGCTTGAAACTGTCAATGGAGATATGATATGATTTTGTTTCTCACCCGTGTCGTCTCATCTGCCTGGACATCCACTCACATTGTCAATGCAGTGCTGGACTTGCCAGAAATAGCCAAGACTGCTGATGCTGCATGTTGTACAGTGACTCATTTACATAAAGTAGACACAACTAGTCTAACAACTTTTCAGTATGAGTAGTTGAGTGGTAAAAAAATTACAATTGTGTAATCCCTAGCCATCAGTAGCAAAGCCATTGAAAAAAACTTTTAGCAGTAACACATAAACATTTCCAGACAGAACCGATGTGTTTTTGAAAGTAAGCACAAGCTTGATAAGTAATTGCGTGTGACGGTTTTTAAAATTGTTTTGTAATTTATTAGTTTTTTCTATGAACAATTTTAATGGCATTTTTAGAAATTCTATTTACAGACTCAAAATAAGATTCAATTTATGGTAATTATATTGTGAGTAGAACTCTGTTTATTTGGTATTGAATAATGGCAATTAATTAACCAAATTAATTGCATTGAATGTTGTATTAATATTTGAAAGCACCCACATTAAGACATTTAATAGATATTACAATATGATGTAGATTTTAAATGTGTCTTTAGAAATCAATCTTTTTTTTTGTATTGTTTCATTGAATCTAAGCACATCACTGACCTAAACTACTATGGCAATCCATTTTAAAGGGATACTTCACCTCTGGAAAGATGAATGTGTTTTTAAAATGGGTAATTTATGTAGAAGAATTATTTTTTTTTAATTATTTTTAATTTGGAGCTTTCTAGACTGAGAAAAGCCAGAAAATGAATTTTTGGCTTATGTGGATGAAAGACAACAACTACCAGAATGCACTTGCTTGGCTGCCCTAGGAGGCCACGCCTACTGGTAATAGAGCGCGGTAGTTAAACAACAAGTCTAGGCTACTAGCGAGTCTCTGTGATGAGTCTACCCGGGATTTCGAGATCACCCAAAACGTCCAGGATTCGGCTTTTGTGTTCTACAGTCGCCATTCATTATGTTTATTGTGGCGAACAGGACGACTGAGGGTCGTGGGAGAACGGCGCGAGGCCGGTGGCGTGATTAGCGATGAGAGATCACTTGTTTAGTGTTCATGTAAACATTACATTCAGATTCACCAATCGGAATTAATTCAGTTAGATTGAAACAAAAGCTGTGTTACATGTAAACAGTGAATGGCGACTGCAGAAAGCAATCGGACATTTTGAATGATCTCGATGGCTGGACATGTCCAGGAAAAAGAGGATGGTAACCCCTACTACTCAGCTTTCTCCACAGAACAAGAGCCTGCTAGCTTAGCTTCCAGAAAAAGATGGCTGACACTGTCTGTGTACATTCTGTGAGTGAGATCCCACCCTCTATGGGTGGGTTAAAAACATGCGGAACAGACCCAACTACTGACTGTAGTCTTTAATGCCTGGCCAAAAAATCCTCCGATGATGCAAAATGACGTTTTTGCGTCATCAGGGGATTTTATCCAGACAAAAAATACATAAATCCCTCGTCTCAGGGGGATATGAGGGTGGAAAGCATGGTAATTCAAAAATACCCCAGGTTTTCTACTAATACAAAGCTTAACGCTAAATCCTGAAGTATCCCTTTAAAATCAAATCTGAGAGAAATTAATGGCAGTTCTTGCGTTCCATCTTTGATGCATTTCAACTGTTGTTGTTTCAGCATCTCACGCCTTGAGTGCCACATTAAAACCAAGTCAAATGACAGCATGAAAGTGATTTAGCTTTGAAAACAGGTCTGTTTCTTATACTCTTTCTGTGTCTTTTCTACAGATGTGTCTTTGTAAGTGAGATTTGGTGAGGCATATTGCTTGATTGGGTATTACACTACTTCACTGGACTGCAATATTCATAGCTGTCAACCCTCCCGTTTTTTCCGGGTTTCTCACGTATTTTTGCTCTTTTCCCGCTGTCTTCCCGTTTTAGTATCTTCCCGTAAAATATCCCGTTTTTTTACTATGATTGTGTGAGACGTTCGAGCTCGGGCTGATTCGGCTTGAAGTCGTTTATCCTCGGATGCGGCGCCGCGCGCGCTGGCCGGAGACACACTGGCTGTGTGGCGTGTCCGTTTTTATTTCGGCTCCCATGTTAACAGATTAGAGCTTGCACACTGCCTGCGTGACACGCGCGTCTCCAGAAAACGCGTGCATGCTAGAAATAGAACTGACGCCTATTTTTTCAAGCGACATGCAAGCGTGTTGAAAGCGTTTCCAGGCAAAAAAAAATAAATAAAAAATAGGAAACGATGTTTATATGATATTTTGTACTCGAATAGCCTACATTTTACATTTTGATGTTTGAAAGTCAAGGTTTTTACATAAATGCAGATATCAATGTAATTTAAACAAATAATAATTATAATAATCGATTTATATTGCCATTAGTTTTGCCTATATATAATTTAAGGTCATATAACATATGAATAAAATATCTTTTCTTTTTTTTTCCATTTGTTTCTTATGCTCTTAACAATGTGATTACACGAAGAAGAAGAAAAAACTTTTGGAAAAAAACGTTCTGGGCCTCAGGAGGATATAAAGATACGATAGGCTACAATAACAAAAGTGTGTCTTCTGAGTGACGGTCCACCACCAGGCTAAATATAGGCTCTTTAAAACTACACAAAATGTGTAAATGTAATTGAAATAAACAGACAGCCCACTTCCCTATTTTGTGGGTTTTGGAAGATGTGATAACAGTTGAAATTGTTGTCGCAAAGGCAAGAGCAACACACCGCTAATCCAAATGTAGATTTTTTTATTTATTTAAATGACACTAGTTTCTAGGCTAGTTATTAACTCTTTAGACTTTTAAGGATTAGTGCTTTATTTTTAAAGTTTGTGGGTAAGAATCGTGTAAAAAAAAATCCCTTATTTTGGGGATGGATTCCGGGAAAACTCCTTATTTTCAGTGTTCAATGTTGACAGCTATGAATATTGTCTTTCAAAAGCATGAAAGTGATTCTTCAACCTTGAAGGAGATAGGAGATAGGTGTGATTAATTATCTTTTCATTTTGTGTTTTACTTGTTGTTGTTTTTTTATATATATATATAATGAAACTGAATGAGCATGTTAAATGTAGCTAGTAAATACGTAGCTAAGTTTTGAGCATGTTACTTGCCTTACTATGTTCTCTGCTGCATCCTCAGTCCCACAGCCTAAAGGAAAAGGTCTAACTATCCCTTTAGATGACATTTCCCCTACTCAATCATGCAAATATGGCCTCCATAAATCAGTCACCTTCTCAAGAACTGCTTTTGTCCAGGTCATCATTTCTTCCAGCAGAAATACCTAGCCCCAGAGAGCTGTGACAAACATCAGGGCAAGAGACTCTACTTGCCCGGACAATGGTCCCATTGAACGGTGCCATCATCCAAATGAGATGTGACATTATCCACCGTGACCCAGACGGAGCTTATGAGAAGATGGAACAGGTCCAGAGGGTCTTTGGCTGTAGCGTGACCTACTGCCATGTTCCTCTCTCAAAACAAATCAGACAGAATCGTCGTAGCCCTGCTGATATAAATCTCATAGCATGAAATTTTGCTTTGTTGCCTCAAATTATGCATGTGGGAAGTTTGTGTATAATTGATTTTCTGCTCAACTACTCTGACTGCGGCCCCACAACATTTCCATTTTCTTGGAAGATAATGGATTTTTTGTACGTTTTCTTAGTAATGCAACTTTCAAGTAAACACATGTTGAGAAATGGTCTTCATTTGGATGGCACTGGTTTGAGTCTGGTTTGTAATTTGTTAAGATTTCTCGGTAACACTTTACAATACGGTTGCACTAATAAGCATTATTTCATGCTTGCCTAATGCACAGATAATACTGAATTAATGTGTAACTAATGATTGTCTAAGCTATTCATTAATGATTACCACATTAGGAACTAATTAAGAGTCTGTAAGGTTAATGTGTAATTGTGGATTAATTCCATTATAACTCATTTTTTAACTAATAGTGTTAATTAATATGTTACTTACCAGAATGAGCCAAAGCCGTGTATTTCAACTTCCAGATAATAGGACAGGTACACTAATATGCATTAATACATGATTAATTACTTCATTGTTAGTGCAAATGTATGTGCAAATTACTACAATTACTAAAAGACTAGGTAATAATGATGTGCCCCACCAAGTAAAGTCATAACATAATGATACCTTTGAAATCATTAGCTAATGATTAATTAAAGCAGACAACTGGAAGTTGAAGTGCATAGCTTTGACTAATTGTGGTAATTAACACATTAATTTACACTATTAGTTAATAAAATATGTTATTAAGGAACTAATACTCAATGACACATTGAATTAATAGCAATTCATGTATTACTTAATCTATTAATCATATAGACTCTTTATTAATTGCTGATGCAGTAATCATTAATTAATGGTTTAGTTCTTCATGAGTTATTCATTAACTCATGATTATCTGTGCATTAGTTAAGCTTGAATTAATGCATATTAGTGCACCCGTATTGTAAAGTGTTACCGATTTCTCTTCCTAATAATTTCAATTTAATGCGCAAAGTCTAAAAAATGACAAAAAATACCTGAAATCCTTCAGATCCCTGATATGAATTTTCATTTCCAATGTCTTAAATGTTACGTTTCATACATGTTAGTATTTGCAATAGTCATTTAGAAAAGACATTAATATCAGTTTGACGAGTTAGATTATGCCCACCATTTCATCGTTATTATTATTTTTTTTTTTCCATGGCAACACCTCATACTTATCTATTTAGTTACAAAATGTGTTAAGCTTTAGACTGTTTTTGTTTAGTCCCAAATTTTGTTTCATTTCAGTAATCATTATTTTTGCATAATTTTGCATTATACATTTCACATGAGTTTTGAAATGCCATGTGATTTTAATCATTGAAAATAACATTAGGGTTAACAATAATGTGAAAAATCAAACATTTCCATTAACTAAGGGCCTTTTCACAGCTGAAAGTCCGCACCAAGGTCCGAACCAAAGTTCATGTTTTGATACATTTGATATATTCAGAAAGTTTTGGTTTGGTTTCACACTGTAATAATATGAGCGCACTATAAACTTTAGGTGACATACTTGCGTCCTGTCGTCATCATCTATGTAGGCTGCATCTTGACGTTGATTTAGTAAATGGACGTCTCATCCCAAGACGTCATACAACTGACGTCTTGGGAGGTCTTGTGACCATACATCAGTTAGATAACATCGGTTAGATGACGTTATCGGATCCTAACCCTACCCCAGACCTAAACCTACTCCTAAACCTACCCCGTCACCTAACTGACGTTAAAGGTAAAGCATCAGTTGTATGACGGCCCGGGATCATCATGCAACCGACGTTTAAGGGTACCCTAAAAAGGCGGATGTTGGCGTATGGTCAAAAGACGTCCCAAGACGTCAGTTATATGACTTCTTGGGATGAGACTGTGTTATGTCAGCAGGGGTAGCTTTTTTTAACACCGGGTAGCTTTGACAACATTAACGAACAGACGCATATTGTTGCAACTATTGTTATTTTTATGGCATAATTAGGTGTGAAATGGCCCTAAAACAATTATTGACATACTCTAACATTGAAGAATATAGGGGAAAAAAAAAACAGTTGATTGGCCCAGTTGATTTACATAGTATTTTTTTTATACTATGGAAGTTAATGTGGTCCATCAACTGTTTGGTAAACCATATTCTTCAAAATATCTATTGTGTTTAGCAGAAAAAAAAAAACTCTTACAGGTTTGGAACAACTTGAGTGTGAGTAAATGATGTCAGAATTGTCATTTTTGAGTGAACTATCCCTTTAAGCGAATCATTCCCTAAAATAGCATGATTTGAGCATTTGAATCAATTATTTTTTCCTGCATTTTCTTTCAAACACAATGTTAGTTCGTTGTTAATAACTCGCAGTGTTTTTCCCCCTAATGTTTATGTCAACAGTATGTTTTTAATTAAAAGATTAAATTGCATCTTGTCTTCATTATTGTTGACAAAATAAATAATAAAAAAGCCTCCATCAAGTAAAATGTATTTTGTCAGCAGTTTCATTAACAAGATGAACACTGGTTCCCCCAAACTGTGCAGAAAACAATCCCAGTGTCTTGAGGGGTGATAATTAGCATCTCATATAAATAAATAATTTCTCTTATTTGCAGAAAAGGAGAAACCTCCAAATATACCTCCATAAAAATAATAATAATAAAAAAACAACTATGTTTGTGCCTTTGGCAAGAGGACAATGTCATTGGATAATGATCCTGTCGGAATCCCGGAAAGAATTAAATCTATCAGCTCTTAAGTCTGCTGTTGTGAACCTGCGAGCTCTTAACATAAAAAAAAATGCAGGCAATTAAACCGCAAGGACACAATAAAGGTTAGTTTAAGATCACAACTCAATTATTCAAGCCCTTCTCTACTCTTCCCGTGAACCGGTGGCTTTTATTTTCAGCTTTCTTGGTCCTCAAGGCAGAAGGCACGTTGAAACGGGTGACGTGACGGAATATTGTTTCCAAATCTACGGATAAAGCCATCGCTAATGATCTGCGTATTGCCAGCCTCCTGACAGCTGCCCGTGTCATATGGAGGATATAATTAAAACAAACAGTGAATAGGCCCTGTGGTCGGCGCCATTGCTGTGACTGCAATAACTTCTGACAGGTACACTGTAATATGATTTCACGCAACGCTGAAGCGTTTTCAGTTTGCTAAGGTAATTCTCTAATTTTTGAGCCCCCGAGCTCTTCATTGAAAGAGTTAAGTTTGAAGAGTTTTTATCGATTTTCTTCACAGCCGTACTGGAATTGACTGTTACCCTTCAGAAATCTTTGCTTCAGATCAATTCTCTATTTAGTCATATATTCAGTTGAGTAGAAGCTTGTTTCGCTGTGAATTAGTCTGGGTTTTTGCGGTTGCTTACTTGCAGATGTGTTTAAGCTTCCTTTTTTTCTTTCTCATAGTCTAGGAGACTGTAGCTGCGTCATGACTAGGGCAAAGACTAAAAAAAAAAAGGTTTGAACAGCTGAGATCAGGGAAATTCGCAAGTACTCTCAGGTGTTGTGAAAGCAGGCCATGGTGATGCACATCACCGCAGTGCCTGAATTACATGTTCAGCCTCACACACACACACCAAAACCCTCTTGAGGACGTTACTCATGCTTTGTGTGAATTAATCATCGTAATTAGCAGACCTTGTAGTATGCAACTTTCAAAATAGAAATGGCCTCACAGTGATGTAGTACTTTCTATTAAAACCGAAGGGGTACGAGTGTGTGTGTGTGTGCTGTCCTCTCTGCTGTACCTTATCGAGTTGAGACACCACGTGTTGACCTTGTATCCCGTTTGTGCTTATTTAGCTGTAAATTGGCACAAATTGTGTTTTCCTGTTCTCACATCCCGCGGTGGTTTATTTGTATCACATGTTAACCCCCAATCCTGCAGTGCTGAAACTAACCCGCACTGCAGCTCGCTTAATGTGATTTACTCAAGTAGGACATGTTCCTGGATTCGCATCCTTGTTAGACCCCAGACAACATTCCCAGGCATTGAGGGTTTAAAAAAAAAAAAAATGTTGTGATTTTAGAGTATGATTGTTTGGTAAGAATGATTTTTCTATAGGACTAAACTAGGATGTTCAATCGGGAACATGTCTTACTTTGGTATATTAGAAGTGCATTCACAGTGATTTGTGATACAAATGTTATATGGTATAGGTCTTAAATAAATCTGGAGACTTTCAGTGCTGTGGTAGTTGTCATTTAGCAGACACTTTTATCCAACATCTCCAACTCTATTTTTCGCAAAACTCTAAAACATACATTTCAACATTGGCACTGTTATTGAATTGAATTGAATCAGTAATGAAAAGACTTCTTTGGAGCTGCTTATTACTGAATTGATCTCATCTTATAATTGATTTATGAAACACAAACAAAGCATTCAAATCACTGCAGTGTCAAGTTGAAATGAACACTAATGGCAGTAAAACACCAACAACTTATATTATTTTTCACATGAATTATGGATTACAAAGGCAGGTTATTGCCTTATTTTTTCATGGTTCCATTCACACAATACTTTCTGACCTCTTTGAATCGATGAATTAATTCTGAACTGTTTGCATCACATATCTAGCTCCAAATGTATGGCTTTTCTGATGTACTAAACTTGCTCAGTGGCTCACCTGGTAAAGAATTCAATTGCAGAATTGCACAATGTGAAGAGCTTAAGGCGGGCATACACTGTGCGATGTCTGTGCGATTTCAGCAAGGTACATACTCAACACTCAACGAGTAAATCGCATGCGATGCAAAGCCAAAGTTCAGGATTTATGTGCTCACACTGTACGGTCCGATCGTCGAGCTGCGACTTCACTGCTCACACTATACGTGTAATATCTGCTATAACGTGTATGTATCCAGAGATTTTGTCAAAACAAGCATCTGCTATCCATATCAAGATGATTAGTATTATTGCATTATAATTATTAGGGGAGGAGGCCTATCAGAGGCTAATGAGGCTAATTTTATTATTAAATTGCTCCGCTATTGTAATTAATTTGCCGCGCAATATTTTCACAGCACATAACCAATGTGCTGTGAGGATAATAAAATATTAATCTTACTCCTCATTAAAAATTGTCTAAATCATTTAGGTCGATTACAATGAATTATATAGAAATATAAAATAGCAATTAACAGTCTATAATATGTCCAAATATGGCCATAATTATCATCAATGAAAATTAAAAACAGGTTTATTTCAAAAACATTGTTTAACAAATTAATAAAAGAGGTGTTACATCGCAGGTGGCTTGGAAGACGAAGACGTGGGTGGTAATATCCATTTTGCAACACGAACTGGAGGTAAGCAACAGTAATTTGTAGCTAGTTTGAATTAAAGAACTTAAAGATTTCCCTCTTTTCGTTTTTATTTTAATTTTATTTTTGCTGCAGATGAAATGGTTAAACTTCTGTTTTCGCGCAGGTGCAGTGAGGGAAAAAACACTGAGTTTCGGGCAATCGGTTCGGAGCTTTGTTTCAACTGTGCGATATAGTCACGAGGAGCGACCAAAATTTCTGACATGCCAGAAATTCATCCGACCATCCGATTGTCGATCGTGAGAGGCTAATCGCTAATCGCCAAATGACGCACGACAAAGCTGAAAATCGGTCCGACGCGAAAAACAGTCGCACGAGTCAGAATTCGGCTCAAAATCGGACGAAAATCGCACAGTGTATGCCCGCCTTTAGGTGCGAGTCCTGTAAAACACGGGTTGTGATAAAATGTCTCAAAGACTTGTAGAAGCAAGTTAAAATGGTATGGTTGCTTCAGCAAATGTGTCTTTACCTCATGTTATCGTTTAAAAAAACTTGCACTTTGAATCCCATTTTCAAAAAAGTGTGTTTTCACAACACATTCTCATCCCAAGACGTCATCTAAGTGACGCTTTTGACATATACGTCAACATCCGACTTTTAGTGTACCCTTTAACGACAGTTAGATGACCCTAACCTAGGGCGTCATCTAACTGATGCTTTACCTTTAGCGTCATTTAGATGATGCAGGTAGGTTTAGGTCTGGGGTAGGGTTAGGGTTAGATAGCGTCATCTAACTGACGTTAAAGAGTACCCTAAAACGTCGGATGTTGACGTATGGTCAAAAGCGTCAGTTAGATGACGTCTTGGGATGAGAATGGGCTGGATTTCAGGCCCCCAAAACGCCATTGTCATGTAAATAAACCACCAAAACGCATATAACGTTTTCTGTTATCAGTTAAAAATGGTGTTGCGTAAACGGTCCTTTCAATACCAACACAGTCTCATGAAAGTGCGTATCTATACCACGAATGTCATTTCTTGTGGCATTTTTACGCCAAAAATGGTTTTTGCGTGCATATGCTACGCACTGAAAACCCCTTGGGTAGGTTTAGGGGGAGGGGAGTGGGGAGTTTGTGCGTATTATACCCCATAAAGTGCATGGATGTGAAGTGCGTGAAAAACGCGTATATATACATATATATACATATGTATATATATATATATATATATATATACACTAGGGGTGTAACGGTACACAAAAATCACTGTTCGGTACGTACCTCGGTTTTAAAGTCACGGTTCGGTACGTTTTCGATACAGCAAAAAGAAAGAAATGCCAGAGAAATTTCCTATTTGTTTAAAGAAAAAATATTTTTAAATAAGTGTGAGTTTTCCTAGATCTTGAAAAGTTCAGGTTTATAAATGGGGGTCATCTTTGAAGGATGAACAAATAATGTTTTGGTCATCACATTAAAAATAACATTTAAATATATATTTATTTATATAATATTTGAATTTTGATGTGCTGGAAAAAGATGTGTGAAGTACTTGAAAGCATTTCACCATTCCAGCCAAACTGGTTCCAGTTAGTGTTACTATATTAAATCCATGGTGAATGTTGCTGGTCTGTGGACGTAAAGTACTAGTTCATTCACGGCACAATGTTTCTCCTGGTTTCCATGACAGCGCTGTTTGATCTAATAGAGATCTACGGTTAATAACGGAGAAATGTGAATGCATCTCACTAGATTTTCGCAGCGATGTTATTACCTCAGTGGCGAATTCAAATGTGTTCTTTACCGGATCTCTTAGCGCTGTGTGTTAACAGTGTTGCTTGATCGAGATCGGCTCGCGCTGCACAGATGTTGCTGGTCCGAACTAATAAACGATCCGTGAAGCACATAACGAGTAGCGCAGTTTCGTTCTGCTTTCATTACGCTTGCCATTTGATGGTGCGCACCGTTGTGTTGGCCGCGTCAGCACGAATTTTGCCGGCAGGAAAAATGGTCCAAGCAATCGTTCGGTTTGTATGCGTACCGAACCGGAAGCCTCGAACCGAAACGGTTCAATACGAATACATGTACCGTTACACCCCTAATATACACGCAAAAACTATTTTTGGCGTATAAATGGCACGAGAAATGACATTCGTGCTATAGATACAAACTTTTATGAGATCGGGCTCTTCAATACCTAACTACTTCAAAACAAGAAATATGTATGCTATATAGAAGAGTGTACTGTTAAATATGTGCAGTGTTGGGAACATCTGGTGTAGGGTTTAGTGTACGTTTTACATTATTTTTTAAACATGATAGAGCAATAACCTTTCAGTGCAACTCACCAGACATTTTATTTCCAAACTGCTGCGATGCATAATAGCCAACATGATAAAACAATTATTTTCATCTCTTTTGGATCAAATGGAACATGCTTTTAGTTCCACTTTCTGGACATTCACTTTAACAGGGCCGTAAAAGGTGCAAGAAGTAACAAAATCATTTTGCAGAAATTATCATCAAAGCTCCCCTGGAGTAATCTAGTGTTAAGTGTTTGGCTCAAGGTCACAATGTTCACTTTTTATAAGTTGCAACTAACATCCTGTCAGTACATGGCCTTCCGTTCATCTTGAATGAAGAATGAATGAAAGATCTTTTTGATGAAATTTCAGAGAACTTTCTGCACCTCTGTTGACAGCTACGTCGACTACCACTTTAACGCTTCCAAAGTTAAAAAAGAGATTCAACATTGAATCCATATGAATTACGCAGTTTAGTCTGAAATTTTCTGAGGAGACTTGATTGCTTTGTAGGATGAACAGATTTAATTTAGGCTATTTTGGCTACTTTTTAGTAGCCTGGATGCCAGCCCGAACTCTGCCCACAACATTTTTTGGTCGGGAAGTTCAGTCTGGACTCGATCCATTGAGGAGTAATTATGATCAGACAAGAAACGATCGGGCCAATCAAATTGCCAGGGCGGGCTTTATATGATTATGGACAGGTGATCTGCAAGGACGTAAACATCACATTATCAAAGAGCGCTTAACTGGTTTCCCTCAGAGATGACTGCAGCTGGAGAATGATATGTATAGATTCCACTGTCGCGTCTGTTGTGAAATAAATTGACAGCGCATTAATTTTAATAGACAAAAAGAGAACTGCAATCAAGGCATTTGTTGATCGGAAAGATATCTTTGCCGTCCTTTCTACTTGATTTGGCAAAAGTGTAACTTATCAGCTGGCTCTGACGGTCGCTAAGAAGATGGGACGTAATGAAAAGCCTGTGGTCGTTGTTGTTTCTCCTTTGGTAGGAGTAGTAAGTAAAAGGAGTAGTAAGTAAAAATGGAGGAGTAAGTAAAAGAAGCAACACTCGTTATTTTACTTCTAAAATAAGTAAGGCTACGTTCACACTGCAGGC